GGAGGGAGAGGCCCTAAAGGTGAGTCTTTTACGGCAGATTTTGGGTCTACTCTTCGTGGGTAATTGGAAAAAAGTGAGCTTTCGAGGGTCATTGTTGATTGAAAATGAAGAATGAAGAAGTGGATTTCCTTTGTGCGAGATTGGAAGCTCCAGTTCTCAAACACAGAAACAACGAATTGTTTATTCAGTGTTCTGTAACCAACACGACGGACAGGAAATTTTGAGTTTTGAGTTTGGGATTCTTTTGGGGGTTTAAGGAGGTTTATCCAAAAGGGCAGTATAAGCTTAGCTCCATTTTTGCTTCTTCAACAGTAACACTCGAACTTTCATGGAAGAAACAATTACTCCCTTAAACTTTTCTTTGAGGCAAATAAGCCCCCTGTTGGAGATTTTGGATAAAAAGAAGGCCAAAGGGGCTATTTGCACCCTACACTTAATTGTTTTTTGCGGTCAACACCTTCCAAAAATTTTCCTCTCTATTCACACTCTCAACTTTTCAAAACCCATGAAAAACCCAACATTTTAACGTGCCGTCATGGTACCGTTACAAAATGCACTACGTGGCACTCAAAAATTGACATGACACTATGTGCCGTTAGTAATCCAATGTAGACATTTTTTTAATGACGTGGCATAATTTTTTGGTGAATAACTCCAAAAAAAAAAACTAGAACAAGGAATTTAATAAATTAAAATATATTTAACTTTAATTTTTAATTTTCTCATCTTCTTGCCAGTTCGAAAAAAAAAAATTTTTTTTTTCTCATCTTCTTTCTCCTCACCCTCAGCATCGTCTTTAGCATCTCTTCATCATCCTTCTGGGTTCCTTGCGAAACCCAGTTGCTGGGTTCGACGACTGGGTTCCACGAACCTAGTGGGTTCCTTGCGAAACCTAGTTGCTGGGTTCCACGAGGAACCAAGAACATCATCCTCTTGGGTTCCTCGTGGAACTCAGATCTGGGTTCCACGAGGAATTCTGGGTTCCTCGTGGAACCTAGTCGCCCTAATCCTTGGATTCCAAGATTCAAAGGATTCATGCGTTTGATTTCGACATCAACATCAACGTCGAAAAAAGAGATGGATGAGTTTGAATTTTTTTTTTTTATAGATTTGGGAAGTGATTTTTATGAATTTTTGTTCTTTTGTTTTTGATCTTTTATGGTGGTTGTTTGATGATTGGTGAGGGTGATGAGAGTAATGATCGGCAAAGATGGTGGGAAGATGGAAATTCGAGGGGGGTTGGAGAGAAGCTGGGAGAAGAATTTTTTCTTTTTTTGGTTGCTTGGGGATTGATGAGGGTGATGGTGATGAGGGTGATGGTGATGAGAGTGATGATCGATGATGATGGGATGATGAAGATCGGAGTCTAAGGTGGGGGGGGCTTGCGGCTAGTTTTTTTTGCCGAACCCAGCTCTGGGTTCCACAGAGTTGGGTTCGTGAGGAACCCAGTTTGAGGAACCGAGTTTGTACCTTTCTTTCACCTTTCTTTTCTGTGATTGTTTTTGGTTATGATAGAATAATAAGATGATAATTTGATTCTTTGATTGGTTCTCAACTTTTCTTGCAAATGAATTAAAAGATTGTTCTTTTTTTTTTTTTTTCAATTTGAATCAACCTCCATTAGAACCATGGGTGGAAAGCTTGAGGAAGATTAAGAAGGGGATGAAAATAAACCCTAAATTCCCAAAATGGTTCTGCAAATCTATTTTAAAAGTTCCGTATGAAGTGGGCTTACTATACACGTGGTGTCCACGTGTGTGTGAAATAAGCCACATCATTAAAAAAGAGATCCACATTGAATTACTAACGGCATATAGTGCTACGTAGTGCATTTTGTAACGGTACCATGATGACACGTTAAAATATTGAGTTTTTTACAGGTTTTGAAAAGTTAAGGGTGTGAATAGGGAGGAAAACAATTAAGTGTAGGGTGCAAATAAGTCCTTTGACCTAAAAAGAAAATAGTTATGCCCAAAATCAAAAAGGGGATGGTCCAGCTAGGATCAGTCTATTGTGCCATGGTAGGCCTGAGAAACACCAGCCTGTTATCCTTCCACTGCCGAGAGGGGGAGGTTTTCGCTGCTCTGTGAAACCAGCCTCACGCGGACCCCTCCACTCTAGGAAGAAGGTAGCCCAAGCTTTGGCTCGAGTCACAAGGTTCAACTCCCAGCTTGGAACGGGCAAGCCAGAAATTAGCATCTGCGGACCCTACACAATGGGCTGGACCAGCGTCCCATCACCCTAAGGCCCCCACTCAGGTTACAAGCTAGCGTTACCCAGCTCGGCAAACAAGTTGCGTGTTTTTCCAAGTTTATAAAGAACATTGTTGTAATGAATTACAACGATGTGGACTCTTTCTGGATTCAAGTTAACATCGTTAGTTTAAGGTCATTTTAGATGTTGAAAAGGAATGTTTTGGTAATGAATTTAAAACGTTTTACAACATCTGTAATCTCAGGATTCTCATTCGAATAATTCTTTGAAGGATTAGTAAAAGGGTTAAATGCTAAATTTGGTCCCTCAACTTTAGTGAGTTGCACATTTTTGGTCCCTTAACAATTTTTTGCACTTTTTTGATCCCTCAACTATACAAAATGCACTCCGTTAATCCTTCTGTTAGTTTGGGCCGTTAACCCTGCTTAGGTGGCATTTTTTATATTTTTTTTGATGACGTGGAGAGTAAAACTTAAAAAGGTGATGATTTGTCTAAAATTTTTGCCATGTCACATGTTACCCGGCTGAAAACGCACCAAATCCATCTAAGTAGGTCCCACATCACCACTAAGAATTGTTTCTTTTCCCTGTTTCTTTCCCCGTCTGTTGCTGTTTCTATCTAAATGGTGTTCTTTCCAATTTCAAGATTGAAGTTCGACAGAACAAAACCCCTTCCATTTTCAAGATTGAAGTTTGACAGAACAGAAACCCGCAAATACGTTCCACACAGCTCGATTCACTGAGCTCAATTGCTCAAAAATCCCTGCAATTTGAATAATCTCTTGGCAAACAATCATATAACCAAAAAAAAAAAATCAATTGCCCAAAAATCCCTCGCAACAACCTGCAATT